CTTGTGAAACTCATCTTGTCAGTGCCAGAATGAAAACTTTACTTTACTATAAGCAAGACTCAGGTTTGATTATATAAACTGGGTTTCAGGAAGGAGACGAATAAGATCAGAAGGAAGAAAAGGCTGGAAGAGAACTGAGGCGGGAAGACCTGGAAAAGAAGAACTCACCTCTGAGAGACAGGCTAAGACCAGAGAGACTGATATTGCCTGTCCAACACCGAAAAGCTGCCTGTCTTTAGCAGGATTGCTTAGTATTACATTTTTACTTAGCATGTGCTTGCTGCTTGTTTGGGAATTGTCAATACATAGAGGATAAGGACATTCCTCTTTCAGTGGCTAAAGATCCTGCCAACCCATGGGTTGCTACACCCTGAGCCAAGGCCAGCCTTAGTCCGATTCACCCGGTTCCCTTAAATTGGGCCCCAGGCCTAAAGGGGCCCCGTGCCCTGAACCCGGAAATGTGCTGGGTGCCATGGGCGGCAAGTTAATATTCAGAGCCGGAGGCCCTGCTCCAGCAATATGTGGAGCTGGGTCTCTCCCCTCGGCTCTGCCTGGAACGGGCCCCGGCCCTCAGGTGCTGGCCCCCCCTACGTTCTCCCACCCCATCCCCAGAGCATCCCTCTCGGTCCTGGACTGTCCCCGCTGTGCACGGCTTTAGTGTGGCTCCCTTCACCTGCTGCTGCTGCCATGCGCAGCATTTGCAGGTGAGCGGCGAGATGCCCGGGTGTGACATGACGTCATGGCCCAGGACTTTAAAACTCTTCGGCACTATGTTGCGTCAAGCGGCCTAGTTCCAGGTTTGGAGTCTGGGGCCCAAGGGCAGACTCCAGCCCCGCAAAGTGGAAGGCAGAAGATAGGGGAGGGGTGGGAGAGGAAGGGGCTTGTGCAGATGGGGAGGGAGAAGAAAGAGGAAGGCACCAAGAGACAAGTGTGGAGGAGAGACAAATGTCAGGGGGCCAAGTGCAGACAATGAGGAAAAGGGAAGGAGGGGAGGTGTCAGTGGGAGGAGAGACAGGGTGATGCTAGGAGAGAAGAGGGGAAGGGCATTGGGGGCTAAAGAGGAGGAGAAGGTTCTGGGAGAAGGCTTGAAAGAAGGGGTGGGCATGAGAAAGGTGGGAATGGAGCAAGTCATGTATGAGGGCACAGAGGGGCAGGAGGGGAATGGGGAAGAGAGTGGTGAGGGGGTGGGCATCAGGGAAAAAGAGGACAAAGGGGGCATGGGCAGTAAGGGAAGGGGGAGGCACCAGGAGAGTGCAGGGCTAAGGGAAGGTGCAGGTGCCAGGGGATTCTGGGGTGAAGCAGAAGGGCAGACATCTGCAGAGGAGGGACCAGCACCAGAGGAAAGAGGCAGGGCAGGTGTGTAGAGGGAGGTGTTAGAAGAGGGGATAAGGATGGGTAGCTCACATGATCAGAGTGGGGCTACTGGAGGAGTTGGCCCAGGGGGGAGATAAGGGCTGGTGGAGGGGGCAGGTTGCAGGAGGGGTGAGTCTTCTTCCCATGCCCTGCACAGCAAGCAGGAGGCTCCCAGGGTGAGGGGCACCTTCAAGGTAGAGGGCAGGAGCAACACAGCAGTGGTGAGAGGGGCAAGTGAAGTGCCAGCACTTGACAGCCTCCTGGCCAAACCTCTCAGGATCACCTGTCTTAGGGTATGTCTAGACTACATCCCTCTGTCGCCAGAGGGATGTAAATTAGACATACCGACATTGCAAATGAAGAGGGGATTTAAATCTCCCGTGCTTCATTTGAATAAAAATGACCACCGTGTTTTGCCGAGTCAGTAATTCATTGGCAAAAAGCTGCTGTCAAGACGGGGATCGGGCGACAAAGAAAGCCTTTGTAGGCCAATCCTGTAAACCTCATTTTATGAGGCATAAGGGATTGACTGATAAAGGCTTTCTTTGTAGCCCGATCCCCGTCTTGACAGCCGCTTTTTGCCGACAAACTGCTGACTTGGCAAAATGCGGTTGCCATTTTTATTCAAATGAAGATTTAAATCTCCGCTTCATTTGCAATGTTGGTATGTCTAATTTACATTGCTCTGTTGTCAGAGGGATGTAGTCTAGACATACCCAAAGGTTCAAAGTTCTATCAGTAGATCCTGATCTACTGGTTGGGGACCACTGGCCTAGACTCATAGGCTGTGTTTACATTGGCACCCTTTTCCGGAAAAGGGATGGTAATGAGACAAGTCGGAATTGCAAATGCCGCGGGGTATTAAAATATCCCCTGCGGCATTTGCATGACCATGGCTGCCGCTTTTTTCCGGCACGGGGCTTTGCTGGGGAAAAGCGCCAGTCTAGTCGGGATCTTTCGGAAAATAAAGCCTTTTCCAAAAGGTCCCTTATTCCTGATTTTAAGAGGCTTTATTTTCCGAAAGATCCTGTCTAGACTGGCGCTTTTCTCCGGCAAAGCCCCGAGTCGGAAAAAAGCGGTAGCCATGTTCATGCAAATGCTTCGGGGGATATTTAAATCCCCCGCGGCATTTGCAATTCCGACTTGTCTCATTAGCATCCCTTTTCCGGAAAAGGGTGCCAATATAGACACAGCCTTAGTGTATTAGCCTTAGCTGGAGTGTTTTGTTTTATTTTGTTTAGTAACTTATTTTGATTTGCCTGTTATCACTTAAAACCACTTAAATCCATCTTTTCATACTTAATAAAATACTTTATCAAAACCAGTGTATATAATTGTTACCTGAAGGAGTTGGGTAATGCAATTGCAGTATAGTCGCATGTGGGAGGTTTGGTGGGAGCCAAACTAATCCCTATTGGTAGGAGGATGATGGGAAAAGTCCTTCGAGAGGGGTGACATGACACCTTTTACTTCTGGTCATGTGTCCATCTTGCCCCGAGTATGTTACCTCCGGAGGCCTGGTTAACGGGGGTCAAGGGGTGTGGCTAATGGGGCACCACCAAACACTATACAAATCTGCCGCCCTTGCTGGCCCCGGAGGAGAAGTGTGCCGGCTGTGAGTTTAGTGCAGGGTTTTCCTGTGCTGTGGGAGGGGTGTGTGTGTGTTGGCAGAGGGATTTTTTTGTGCCTTTTTTTTTTGCTCAATCAAAAAAATTCCTGGGCCCCCTTTTGAAACTTTTGTGTGTGTGTGTGGGTTTTTTTTGGCTCAACTAAAATTGCTGCTGGGTCTGGTCAAAATTGTTCAAACTGGGCCCCGCATTTCCTAAAGCTGGCCCTGCCTTTAGCCCAAGGAATTGGCTACGGGTGGGTGTGTAAATTCACAGGGTTGCACCTTGAGCCCCGGGAACTGGGTAAAGGTGTGTGTCCCTACAAGTTTTTGTCACTGGAGCTGCCTTTTGGATACAAATAGTAAGAGAGATGTAGCCATGTTAGTCTGGTCTAGCTGAAATGTGTTCACTTTTTTTTGTTTGTATCCCTCTGGTATATATGGTCATGCCAATTTTCTTCCATGATTTGATCTGAGGAAGTGGGTCTGGCCCACGAAAGCTCATCACCTAATAAACCATCTTGTTAGCCTTTAAAGTGCTGCATAGTCCTGTATTTTGTGGAAGAAGTAAGCAGTAATCTCAAGATGGCACTGCTTTCCCACAACACTGCATGCTGCATTGTTCATACTATCAATGATGGTGCATCTCCCAGTGGGGAATATTCTCTGGGGATTCAGGTTTTGTCAACGTTTGGCTTTTGGCATGAGTTTTTCCACCTTGATAGTATAGATTAAGCCTCAGCCTGATTGGACTCGTGTTCTTATAACATCTGCTGTTTCCTGTCTGAATATTTCACATTCATTGGCATCAGCTTCTGAATCCGCGCATTGTACAATACAGTACTTGGTTTACTGAAAGAAAACCTGCTTTTTCCTGTTTGGTGTCCAATACCTCTAGAAGCTGACAATACCATAATATTTGTTTAGCTATACAATTCCTTAAATATCATGTAGCTTGCACTGATTAAGTGTGACAAAAGCTTTCATTATAGACATCACATGACTGCCTTTTGTGAAACCATAGGAGCCGGGAATCCCAAGTACCACCATGTCCTCTGCCAGTTGGCATCCAGAGCTGTGTGGCTCACAGTGAGGGGGCAGAGGCAGGGCAGAGGGAGGATCAAGGCCAGGCCAGGTTGCTTGTCCAAGCAGGCTCAGGGTTCCACCTCACACACCCAATGGTGCTCCTCTGTGCATGGGGCATCATACCACTGCCCGTCCTGCAGTGTCAATGCACAGTTCTCCTTGCTTCCGCCACTGGGTTCCCCTGTCTGCCAATAGCTGAAAGCAAAACAGGAAGAAATAGAGCAGGGCTGGAGATGCTGCAGTCCTCATGACACCCAAGGCCCCCTGTCTCACCCACCAGACCACACAGTCCCCAGACCATTTCACCTCAAGCAGCCACAAGCCCATGGGGACACCCCCCCCCCTCCCCCGTCTCCATATTCCCTGCAGCACCAGTTGCCTTGCAAGTCCCATAGCCACCTTTGACACACACACCCTACCTTGCCCAATGACCAGCACAGTGGGAGGGATGCTGTGGTCCTGCAGCAAGGGATCTGGGACTTGCAAGAAACATGAGCAGGAACTGGAGTAGGCAGAACGGAGGAAGGAACTTGTGCTGGATTGGGCCAAGGACACAGAGACAATCCCCCATCTCACTCATCCCCCACAAGGAGCTCGCAGCATGGCAGGTGAGGGGGGGCATAACCCCCATGGGCTCTTCTGCAAGAAACATTTCTGAGTCCCAACTGACCAGCTTACTAGAAATCACTTCCTCGGATCCCATCCCAGGGACCAGGACCAAAGGGACAATTGGAGGGAGGGGAAAGGAGAGTATCAGTAGCCAACATGGGACAGAAACGAGGTGGTGCAGTTTTGCAGCACATTGAGCAAATTTTGTAGTGCCCTAGGGAGCTGCATGTGTGAGGTGGTGCTGGCTCCAGCAGCTAGCTTCATCTTCCTAGCAGGGCTGTGCCTAGGAGGATGCAGCATTTGGGATGGCCCTAACTCTGACCATGCTCTGCCTTTTTCCATCCCACACTCCTCTCTTTCCCCTGAGTCTGCGGACTGTGATTGAGTGGGAAGTTCAGGAAGAGGAATGAACCCAGGTCTCATATAGTTGTGTCTTTGCGTGTGGGGGGGAGGTGTCACGCTATTGGATTTTAAAGAGAGCAGAAAGCACCTACTGGTGGCATTTGCCCCAAGTTGTGTACAGAGTGGGCCATGTGAGGTGTCAAATGGAAGCTTATGAGCTACTGATTCTGTGTATAATGCCTGTGTACTTGTATGATTTTTGTATATGAAGTTATGAGTATGGGCTCTATTCTTGTATTGTAAATATTCTCTGTCTGGGAGGGCGCAACAGGCCTGGACTATGTGAGGAATGATTGTTCAGTGAATGGCTGTGCTAACTAGCACTGCTTCATGGACAATGGCTCTCAGATGGCCAATACACTCCTAAGAAATGTGTTCGGAAACCTGCAAGCCAGCCAGTGCCTCATGTTTACTTGAGCCTGAGACCAGTTCCAGTTTGGAACCACCAGGAATATAAAAGTTCCAAAAGGGCAACTCCATCTTTGTTGTCAATCTTGTTCCTTATGCCAGATGCATCCTTGCTAGAGCCAGAGAGCCAGGAAGGACTCATCCTGCTAGAGGATGTACACCAGAGACTTTTAAACTAGTAGTTGGTAACATCTCTGCTAAGACCCTGCATCAAGAACTGAGTAATGTAATGCTCAACCTTTTCTTTCTTTTATAATAAATCTTTAGATTTTAGCTCCTAAAGGATTGGCCGAGAATGCTCTTGTAGGTAAAATCTGAAATCTAAATTATCCTGGGACTGTGGCTGGTTCTTTGGGACTGGTAGACTCTGGAGTTGGTGAGATTGGGTTTTATAACCTCTCACCTATGTGTGCAAGGCCTGGGTTTGATTATGGCACAGGGAAACCTGGGGTGTCTAAGGGGTTTTGCTTCTGAGGCGTCCTGCTTGCCAGATTGACAGCTGAAGTGCTCTATGTGACAGTTTGTGGCTCATATGGAAAGGGAAAGGGTGCTGGTTTTGAGCAACTTGCCCTGAGCTGACATGCTCAACAGTCTCCAGACTTGGACCAGTCTGTCACAGGGGGCTATGGTCTGTAGTGGAAGTTGCAGATCCCATGTCTAGAAGTGCAGGGAGAGAAGCAAGTTGGGACTGAGAGGGCAGTAGCAGCTCGGTTGGAACAGCAAGGGTTGGGATTGAGGGGAGCAGAAATCTCAAGGACAGAATGGCAGGTGTTTGTGGGGGTAGATTAGGAAGGGGAACAGAAGTCCCAGCTCCAGAATGGGAAGGTTGGGGACTTTCACTGAGGGGCACATTGGGGGCAGAACTCAAGTCTGGAATAGCAGGGAGCTGCAGGTCAGGATGAGGGTCATTTTCCCACCTTACGGCTCTAGCTATTTGTCCCTATTTCAGGGCCAGGTCTTCCATACCTGGCATTGGTGGCTGGGTGAGTCCCGTCCACCCACATCCAAGCCCCCTCAAGTGCCTGGTCTGTGAGACCCATCCAGGAGGCTGGTACTTTCATGTAGGACACAATGTGAGCCTGAAATTCAGAGAGAATAGCATTAGTCTGGGGTGAACCTCCCACCGCAATCCTCCAGCCCCCTCCCCCCACAGCATGGAGGTTGCTGGACATGGACACGTCCTGATGCTGCCTGATGGCTAAATGGTGAAACAGGAGCTCAGAGTGACATGGCCCCAGGGTTATGATAGCCCTCAGGAGTTCTGAGCTGGGTGGAACCTGCTTGGTGCAGTGTCTGCAGCTATGCAAGGCCATGCCAGGCATCTCCCCAACTTTGACTTGTTGACAGACCAACAATCCTCCCTGCAACTCGGGAGACTTCTGCTCCATCACTCCAACACAGCAAGTTCACAGTGGGCTGTGTCACAGTGACAGACTAGATGCCAACTTTTGCCAAGGCTGTAGGTGTCACCTGAACACTGAGAAACACATGGCTGGCATGCTAACTAGCTCACCTGCATGTTAGTATTGTTCAATATAGGTGAGGAAGTTTCCCTGTGCAAGTAACAGTGTTTTTTCTTGAGATGTCTGTCCCTATGAGTGCTCTACATAGCCCTAGGCTACGTCTACACTGGCGGGTTATTGCATAAGAATGACCATTCTTCCACAGATCATCCACACTGCCCACCCGCTCTTGCGCAAGAAGATTTACAGTAAAGTATGGGAAGGGAGGGCTTCTTGCGCAAGAGCGACTCACTTTTCTAACTGGGCGCTTTTTCCGGAGGATCAGGGCCAGTGTAGACGCTCTTTTCCGGCTTTTTTAAAAGCCGGAAAAAAGCGGCGGACATTTTTATTTAAATGCCGCGGGGGATATTTAAATCCCCCGCGGATTTCCCTACTACGATAGGTGAAATTAACATGCCCCTTCCGGAAAAGGGGCCAGTGTAGACGAGCCCATGATGTATACAAGTACAAGAAAGCAAGTTGCCATGGACTCAAAGGAAGGTCTAGTGAAAGCCCTGAGAACTAGGCTAAGATTTCAGGCTGGAGGAGATGGTGTCACATGTGGGAAGAGATTCTCAGTGTCCTTAAGGCATCTACACATCAGCAGGTGAGCAAACACTGAGGTTGCTTCTAGACTGGCATGATTTTGTGCAAAAGCACCTGCTTTTGCGCAAAATCTTGCCACCTGTCTACACTGGCTGCAAGTATTTGCGCAAGAACACTGACTTTGTAATGTACAAAATCAGTGGTTCTTGCGCAAATATTCCAACGCTCCCGCTCAGGGATAAGCCCTCTTGCGCAAGTATTCTTGCGCAAGAGGGCCAGTGTAGACAGCCACGTTAATTTCTTGCACAAGAAAACCCGATGGCTAAAATGGCCATCGGAGCTTTCTTGCGCAAGAGAGCATCTACGCTGGCACGGATGCTTTTGCACAAAGGCACATGCCAGTAGAGACGCTCTCTTGTGCAAATACTTTTAATGGAAAACTTTTCCGTTAAAAGTATTTGCGCAAAATCATGCCAGTCTAGACGCAGCCTGAGTATTTGTCCACCTGGGTGTGGAAAGACTGTTCATGGCAGGATGTACCTTAATGTATCTAAAATGTAGTGTAAAATCAGAGGGAGGAAGATGAGCTTGAGTTTTGTCACTTGTTGGGGAGAAGACCCCGTTCAGGGCAGGGTAAGGGTGCCCATCTCACACCAGTGATTCTCATATTCTGTTTTTTTATCCCCCACTTTGGCTATGTCTACACTGGCGGCTTCTTGTGCAAGAAAATCTTGCGCAAGAACACATCCATACTGCCATGTGCAAGCTGTGCTTTTGCGCAAGAGCATCCATGGCAGCGTGGACGCTCTCTTGCACAAGAAAGCTCTGATGAACATTTTAGCCGTAGGGCTTTCTTGCGCAAGAAATCCCTGCTGTGTGTCCACACTGCCCTCTTATGCAAGAGAGCTTACACCTGTTAGAAAAGAGAGTAGCTCTTGCACAAGAAACCCTCTCTTACCACGCTTTACTGTAAATCTTCTTGCGCAAGAGCAGGTGGGCAGTGTGGATGCTCTGTGGAAGAATGGTCATTCTTCTGCAATAACCCGCCAGTGTAGACATAGCCCTTGTGTTTCTAATTCCTCTGACCAAAGTTTGTATGCGCCTGCCCTCTTGTCCCCAGGGTGGGGGTGACCAAGAGGGCAGAGCCCAAATTGCCCCTATTTTCAGGGCAGTGCAGTTCAGCAGTCCCAGGAAAGGCTCTTCTCAGAGCTGGTAGAACTAAGAATGGCCCCAGGTATAGGCAGATCAGTCTCTAGGAGGGTATGTCTACACTACCCTCCTAGTTCGAACTAGCGGGGTAATGTAGGCATATCGCACTTGCAAATGAAGCCCGGGATTTGAATTTCCCGGGCTTCATTTGCATAAGC